CAACCCAAACCATTCTATGATTCTATCAATTTAACCCAAAAGCAACAGTTTAACAAAGCTACAACAATTTAACAAAACTAAAAGTAATTTCCACATTTGGTGTCAAATAATGATCCCATGGCTTCTGAGGGACCCGACATCTTCAACCCCACACCCCTTCGGTTAAATTAATTTTTAGAAGTCCATTCTGAGCACGGTTTAAGAGGTGTAGTTAGTGCCAGATCATTCAGTATTCCCAGCAGTGACTGGTGCCAGGTGTGTGTTCTCTCAGCTCACCTTTGTGTACTCTGTGAGTGCCTCGATGAGGGCGTAGGTGGTCTGGGACAGCAGGGTGGCCGTGCTGTCTGTCACCAGGGACACGGCTCTTCTGATCAGGGCATCGTTACTGAGGGACACTGATCCCTGCTGCTGCAACACAAGGCATTTCCATGACCTTTACTTCCACTTCCATATGGATATTAGTTAAAGACAAAGCTAAGGGAAAGCCTCACTGCTCTTTACGAGCCAAGCGCTCACAGAGGACATAATTCCAGGGTGAGAACAGGTCTGTACAAGGTTAAAAAAGTGTTTTTGAACATTTAACTGCTCCCAGGGAGGGGGTGCCCCCCTTCCACGTTACCTCCACAACAGGGACAGCACACAGGGCCACCCCCAGCCCCAGGGCCTGGTGCCACCGGCCGCTGGCACCCGAGAGGCCTCGTCTCCTCACGCTGGCCAGGACTGGGAAAGCGTGCCTGGAAATGCAAGGGGAAAAGATCAGCACAAGAAATAACCTGTGTCTGCTGGGGAACAGGGATCTAAGAGGAGAACAACCCCTAGAAGCTGTTCTAGGGGAACTAGTCCGTACCAGGCTTCTGGACTGCAGCTGCATAACAGTGAGTGGGTAAGCTTGTTTCAAATTTTGTATTGTCACTTAATTATTATTACTGAATTATTGTTACTTAAGTGCAAGAAAATAAGACAGGCACAGTAACTAGTGCATTGTTAAGAGAGGAAATCTTATCTGGTATAAGCACACTGCTGGTAGTCAGTAATATTGAAAATCAGGTTAAAAAACATGCTTGAAACTGGTGTTCGGTACATATACGTGAGAAATGTGACAGGGAATATGGTACAATCCAGCGACACTCGGACCTCCTGCGGCCAGTTTTCTTTACATCCCATGCCGTGCAAATGTCCCCCCAGGGTCAGGGCCTGTCACCGAAACACTCGAGCAGAAAAAGAAAGGAAAAGCACGGGAGCAGGGAGCATTTCTTTGTTATGCAGCAATCTTCCTGAAAAACGACCGGTCGGTTTTCCTCCTTGTGCGCGCTGCGCGGGCAGCACATCTGGCGCTGCGGGCGCTGTCCCAGCACGTCCCCCCCGCCCGGCCCCGCCGCGGTACCTGAGGACGGAGCAGCAGCTCCGCAGCCACCCGCCGCCGCCGCCATCTTGGGCCGCCCGCCGCGCGCGCGGTGACGTCACCGGGGGCGGCGGCCGGCGGGGCGGGGGCGGGAGCGGCGCGTGCGGGTGCGTGAGGGAGTGAGGGGCGGCCCTCGGGGAGGAACCGAACCCTGCGGCACCTCCTCCTAAAGTGTTAGTGAGCCAGGCATTGCTTTATTGTGGCCGGAGATGCGTAGGGAGTCGTTCCAGGCAGATACATCCCCTTTAAGGCTTTTCACGTGCTTATCCACTTTAACATTTTAATTTTTGGTTCCAAGTCATACCATTCCCTTAATTTAATTAGTGTTCTATCGTTTATTGACTATTTTGGTCTGCATGCTTTGGACCTCTTATCGTTCTTCCTCAGAGAGTCTCCAACTCTCAGGTTGTAATGTCTTTTTTAATCCCCTTTGTATCTTCTGGTTACTCCAACATGTCTTTGAAGAACCAGAAATTTAAGATCCCTGATGTCCAACCTTTAACTTCCTCAGGCAAGAAGGGAGATTTAATCTCTGAAATAGAGCAGCACACAAGCTCTAAGTGGTGTCCAGGTGTTAGAAAAACAAATGACTTGTGGGTAGAATTGCCTTGTTAAGGTTTAGGGCTGGAGATGCTTCAGTGATCTCAGACCTGGGGTAGGTTAACAAAGTGTGAGGAGGAGGATTTCCACTGATGGTGGACACAGGGAATGCAGAATTTATGGGCCACAAACACATGGGGCAGAACTCCCAAGAGAAGGAAGAAACTAATAAACCCAACTCAGCAACTGGGCTGAAACCGGCTCCACGGGGGTAAGAGGTGATTCTGATCGACCCAACAAACCCCCAGACCCAAAATAAGAGAAAGACTGAGCATGGCACTAATTCACATGAAAAATAAGAGAATCATTAACCAAAAGAAGATAGAATACTAATTAATAAGAGAACTTGTAGCCCATGAACATTGATTCCTTTGTTTGCCCTTTCCTTGCCCCTGTACCTCACAAAACAGTAGGGAGAGGGAAACCTTGTAGTGGTTTGGAAGGTCTTTTTCCAGGACTTCTAAATAAACTGACAAGTAATTTCTATCTCTCTGCCTTCACACCCTTAATTAGGCAGAGTTGGACAAGGCAGGACTTGTTTATTGAGATATTGGTCGTGTTGGAATTGTGTTGCATCCCTCCTGTCCCTCTTTAGACAGGGTGGGAGTCTCAGGAGAAAACTGCTGGGAGGCTTTTAAACATTTCAGGGAGACACAAAGAATCTGCAAGAGCCGCAAAAGATCAGCAAAGTGCATGCAGGTGGATACCTTTTCTTTTAATCTTTATTGTTTTTACATAAGAAAATAAGGTTGTGGTGAGGCTGTAAGGACACAAAACATTTGCAGGTTTGGCGCAGGGGGAAGAAGGGCTGTCCATCCCGTGTGCTGGGCACTGCAGAGCTGGTTGCCTCTGGAAAGCCGGTGGCTGCAGGAGCAAGAGCAGGAGCAGAGCCCTCATTTGAGCACCAAGAAGTAGGTGGTCCAGCCAGCGAGGAGCAGTGCCCCGAGCAGCACCGTGTAGCTGAACAGCACGAAGGCCAGCAGCTCCCTCAGCACCTTGAGGACGTGGATGGCGAAGGACTCCGGCATCGCGCTCTCCGGCAGGTAGGATCCCTGGGGCTGGATGCTCCTGCTCCTCCCCGGCCTGTAAGCACAGGGACAGGGTGAGTCTTCCCGAGCAGGGAGACTGTAATTCACAGTTTCTCCCCAGTGGCTCTGCCGTGGGGAGAAACCCTGTGATCAGGGGGGTTGATGTCCACCTGGAATGTTGTTAGTGTCTGCTGGGACTCGTGTGCCTGTTCAGAGTCCTCCCGAGCTGTGCAGTGTTGAAAGAGAGTTTGGAATCTGATCAAAGTCCCCCAGTTAGGACTGTTAACAGAGCAGATGGAAATACAGACACAGGCCGTGGGCACGGCTGTGTGGGTGAGGCCAGAGGCTCTTACAGAGTCCAGCTGGCTCCTGGAATCTTTCCCCTGTGGCAGTGGCTGGGTATCCAGGAAGCTTCAGGATCAGAGTGGCCACTGATGGTGCAGTACCAACAGCGTGTTCTGATCAAAGTGGTCAATTCCTCCAAGGAAGCCACCATTAATATTTAATGCTATAATTGCATCTAATGGAAATACTGGCACAAACTGAGCCTTTTGTTTAAGAATGACGAAAACCGAGGCTTAAATACAAGTTTGAACAGGCAAATATTTATATCTCACGTTAAAAATAACCTTTAAATGGGAGATATAGGGTAAAATGCTTTAGAATTCATCTTATAGCTTTATTTTAAAGTCATACTTACACTTGCTTTGGAAGTAATTGCTTGATAGTTTAAATTTAAATCCAAACTCTTTCACAAAAGTCGTTGGCTCCTTAGACTTAAAGCTGTGAAGACCCACCTAAAAAATTCTATCATCTCTCCGATTTACATGTTCTTTTAAATTTTGATCACAACTGTGCCTGCTGAAAAATATCTTATGTGCTCTTGGTCAAGCACATAAAGGGAGTTTAAAATGAGACTTAAGATAAAGCAAACCCAAAAGGATTATTTCTCTTCTAAGCGGTCTAAAGGCAGCCAAAGTAAACTGAATTCTCATCCTGTCACTTACAATGTTTTTTAAAGAGGTCTTCTGGTAGAGTTCACTTTTTGCTGTTGTTAAAGAGTTCAGTCATTTCATTCTAAGCTCAGGCACATGTATATACTATAGGAATTATTTCATTTTTAAAGCAGCCGTGGTTTCCCCGTTGTTCAAGGCACTGAAGTTTTCTATCCACGGGCTTTACGGGATTTCTGGTTATCTGGAGAGATAAAGAAATGAACTGCTTACCCAGGCTCTAGTGTGTCAAGGTCCTGCTTCTCTCTAGTTCTGTTCTGCAGCTGTCCCTTGGATTTCTGTCTTCCAGGGGGTTTGTGCTGTGGGCTGATCCCGCTGTGATGCGCTCCGGAGCCGGGAGTACCGGGGTGTGTGTGCAGGACTGGTGCACTCACTAGGTGTGGTCAGGGCGGTTATGATACGACACAACGCGTCGTGCTCGGAGCAGCCAAACAGCTCCCCTTCCCCAGGGGGCTGCTGCCAACAGCATTTCCTGGGCTTAAGCACCAGGGCTTGGTGTTACCAGGTCAAAACCTGCAGTGGTTTAGTTGTGGGTTTTTTTTCCTCTAGCAAAATGTGTCATGTTACATTTTTTACTCTGTTATCTGGGAGGCTGCTGTGCCTCTTGCTCTGTTCCCTGGGAGCCTTGTGTTCTGTGGGCCACTCGGGGAGGAGGAGGAGGATGCTCACACACAGCTGGGGCTGTGGGCTGTGGGTCCCAAGGGTGGGACTGTGCAGACTGAGTCTGGCTCTTTTACCAAAAGATTGGGCTGAAGGCAGCCTAATGCCTGCACTGTCACCAGGTCACTGCTCTGGTGCCACCCTTGTCCTCCCAGGGTGTCACCCTGACCTTTCAGAGCACAAGCACTGCAGCCCCTTTGCAGTGAGGGCAGAAGGGAGCCAGGATATATGTTTATTTTTAGCAAAACTCCTTTCTGATAATGCTGTATGAAAAGTGAAAGTGTTCGGGGGTAGAGGTTGGGTGATGGGTTTTTTTTTGCTTGTAACGCAGACAGCAGAGAGAAGGAAGATCATGTTCTGCAGATCAAATCTCTTGCCTACAAATATATTATGATGTAGAAAATGGCCCCTTAATTTAATTAGGCTCCCTTGTCATCAAATTATTATCCACATGGTCAGCAGGGCCTTGGACAGAAGCAGAACATAATCAGCTGCTCAGGAAGCCTGTTAAGTAGTAATTGCTCCTCCAGGGAATTATCAATGTCAGGATGGCTTTTCTTTCTTCTTTTTTTTTTTTTGTTTGCTTTTTTGTTTGTTTGTTTTTGTTTTTTGTTTTGTTGTTGTTGTATAGTTCCAGGAAGAGACTTTCTCTAGGTGGAGTGGCCACGCAGCTCTGTGCTGGGACAGGTCTGCAAAAAAATAGGCAGCAGTGTTGGTGATAAATGAAGAGTTTACCAAGTGTCTGGGGTTTTGCTTCTGGTGTTACTAACAAACATGTTTTGCTGGTCCAGGTGGAGAGTTAGGTCAGCTGGGGAAGTGGGGCTTTATTCACCTGTGGTACAGCTTTTACACAGCATGACCTCAGTTCACAAACCAGCCTGATCAGGGCTAGACATTTCCTCAGGATTGGTTCACTTTTTAAGATTTAAAAATAAAATAAAAAAAAAATCTGGAAATTTCTATAGTACAAAGATCCCTCAGGCCAGGCCAAGGACACTGTAAGGGCTGCACTGAGTCACAGTTTCTTGTTTTCCTCTGCACAGTAACATCTGATTTTTGATCCAAAGCTAATTTAATTTTCTTTTTAAATACTCTGAAACTGCAGAAATAATGTAGAGGAAGGCAATCCATGCTTGCTCCCTGCATCATTGTCAAAGTTGAATAATTTCTTTTGTTTTTGTTTTTTTTTTTTAAATCTGCATGTTGCCCACCCACCTCAAGTAAAATCTCTGAAGACTGAAACTGTATTTTTCTTTAAAAGTCAGGAAATCCCACAGATATTTCCAATGCAGTATGTTAGGTGGCAGAACAGAATGAAATTTTGAATGAGTTTAAAGAAAAAACATTCAGATATTAAAAAATTTATTTTAAGTAATTCAGTTGTCTTGGGGCAGGGGCAGAAGAACACAGCTACCACAGTGCAGGGTTTTATTTATTTTTGTATTCCAGAGAGAGAGAGTGCAAACACTTCCAAAAAAAAGATCAAATACATCTTTATTTTATTCTCATAACTGGAGTTAAGCAGGCAGAGGGGGCCATGAAGGGGCTTCATTTGGCAGAACTCAGAAAATAAAACAACATGCCAAAACCCACAGTCACAACTGTGACAACTTGGAAAAATGAAGGTGTTTACTGGGCCAGGTTATGCAGAATAACTAAAAGCAGAAACGTTTGGTAAGAAAGTGATTTAAGTTGTGGTTTGTTTTTTTTTAGTTGTCTTTAACTATTTAGGAGTCCCCAGTGGGGGCTGTTAAAGCCTGTGAGTACAGTGACTGTGCCCACCAGGCACCAACACCACCCCTGCTCTGCCTTCCCAGCCTCTGGAAGCTGCCTCTTCTACACACTGGCTCAGCAACACCAAGGGCCCCGCCACCAAGGCTGTGGAAAATTCCATTTTATAAGTTTGAGCTCTACAACACCTTGTGACAGCGAGTACCACCGTTTATAACCGCAGCAGGGGGGTGAAAAAAGTGTCTGTTTTAAACCCGCTGTTTACTGGGTCCCTGTTGTTGCTGGGTTTGGCCCAAGTCCCACCTGGGGAGTGTCTGTGTGTCTTCAACCATCGGCTCCTGACACACTGATGTAATTCAGACTCTGGAGTAGCTTTCCACAGTCAGGTGGGAGTACCTGGGACAAACAAGCCACCTCACAATGATCCCTTCAAGGATAAAGTGAAGTAAAAGGCTCAAGGATCAGAGGCACATAACTCTGACAAACACACCCAGTGCATCCATGGAATGTACCAAGTACCAGAGAGAGAGAGAGACTGGGAATACTGGTATGAAATCAGGAACAGACAACATCCTGCCTGCATCTCCCACTAAAACTAAACAGAAAGAAAAAAAAAAGCAGCAATTTGCCAAAGAGAAGGACCAGGGCACATCCCCAGTCCCCCTGTGCTTGGCTGCCAGGTCAGACCACGAGCAGGGATTTCTCATTCTCTCCCCTGGTTTATTCCATCCTTAGTGCCTCCCAGCACTGCTTGTTTAATAGGAAGTTCCACAAATGGCTGGAACACAAGTGCAGAAGGGATGAGGGTCACTGGATCATGAGCGGGTCTCAGGAGAGCTCCTTTCAGTGCCGTGTTTCTCCAGTGTTCAAGCAGCAGCAGAGCCAGGACCAGACGTGCCTGTGTCACACAGGGCCTCTCGCTTTACTGTCTCTCACCACACACCCTAGAAAGGGGCAGGCTCCAGTTTTTCCATCAAGGATTTGATCCAGGTTGTTCCATTGATGAGCTTTGTGGTGGCAATGACGTACTCTGTGCCTCCATCTTCCATCTGGGACAGGAACCTCAGCGCAGCGATCTCCGCGTACGTCACCCCTCCCAGGAAGAACACCAGAGTGACCCTGTTCTCCCCGTGCTGACCTGGGGACCCAGGGAAAGGGGCAGGTTGGCTTAGTTTGAGTTTTACAGCTCCTGTGCATCAACTGTCAGTCAAACTCAAATGACATAAAACTGAACTACAGAGAGCAGCTGAATTAGGGGAAAAATTTACTGGGTGAATCCAGACCCTGCTCCTGCCCTGGAGTCTCTTTATAGATGTGCTTCTGCCTGACCAGTTTTAATGCTGGGTAGGTGAAGCTGACATTCTTTGTAAAGTAATTTTGCACACTAAAATCACAGGTTGGAGTTTATTTTAGTACTTCTGATGGGAAGTTAAAACAATTTGTCACAGGATGGTTAGTTAGATCTAATACTGCAGAGGGACAGGGAGGCCTGGGCTCTGCCAGCCCCTGATTTCAGTTTGCCTCATTCTGGCCTAACAGAGATGCACTTCTCTTTAAAACAAGGGAAAACAAGGCAAAACTTACGCTTTTTCTGAAGGCCAGTGGGTAACTGCTGCCTCTCCTCAAAATGGGGCCCTGGCAGCATCTTCAGCACCTCCTCGATGCTCCTCCAGCCCGGGCGGGCCAGGAGCTGTGCCAGGCGCACGCTCAGCGGGGCGTAGCCGCTGTACACGTACGAGATGTCGTTGGGGT